ATTTTTAAGCATGAAAAATGTGGTTAACCATTGCCTTTTGATATGAATGTGTCCTTGATAAAGTATGGCACAGATGGACAATGGAGAGAGGAGCATCCAGGAAGAGAGAGAAATAGATTTTATAATGTGGTACAAATTTTACAAAATAATTTTTATGGCCTCATACAATAGAATTATTATTAGAATTATTGATTCTTTTTTTTTTAACTTTTTAGGACACACAGAGAAACATAGACTGAGACCATGCTAGAAACATGAGCCAGTAGCTTTTTTTTTTCTGGGGGAAGCTATGATGAGTTGACTGGCATAAGGAAATAGGCATTGGCCTCTTCTTTCTTTTTTCATTGTTTCCCTGAGTCAAATTTGAAAATAAAACCACACCTTCATAGAGTAGAATATGTGTGAGTGGTTGACAAAAAGTAGCCCAACCTTCACATGGGTATATGTGAGTAAGACGTAGTGACAATCACCTGGTCACCCTGCTCAAGTGCTTTTGAAGGGAAGATACACCATCCAAATGTCAAGGGAAGAAGATTTCAAGGTTTATAGTCAGGCTAATTTGACCTAGAGATGATGAATTGATTCTCCTCAAAGCCAATAATAAAGTGAGACCCTTCTTGTGGAAAAAAATGTTATTGAGTCAGAGGCTTATAGTGGTAAAGGCAAAATGGAATAGACAATAAAAAATCCCTGGTCTGATTATGCAAAGCACCTCTATAATATTTTGTAGGCAGAGCTGTATTTCTCCTACCAAAGTAAACTCCTCGGATTTATTCCCTTAGTGACAAATGTCATGTCCGATGCTAAAAAAGCTTTTTTTTTTCTTTAATTTAGTCTATTTTTTCCCTGGACAGAGATATTTTATTGGCTCCAGGCAGCCAAAGGCAATTGTGAAATGAGTGGGTGAGTTGTATCTAAGACCTCATACAGAAGAAAGAACTAAAGTTGAATGTGAGAGCTCATCATCTGGTGATACCTGTTGGGAATCTGGAAGGACCAGCAGAAGTAGCAAAACAATATAATACCTAGAGGATGAAATGGGGAACATAGAGTGAGCTACAAAACAGCTCAGAAGGTCAGAGACAAGGAGCAGAAACATCTGGAATTAACCACAATGGGAGAAAAGCCAACATATTCAGGACTTGAAATGATTAGGAATCCATAGAAACTTTTGATAAGAGTTACTTTGGTGGGTTGGCTTATTTTGCAACTAGATTTTATGTGTAGAGGTTGATATCCAGAGAAATAATAGAGCCTTACGGAGCCTTATGGATGTATCCACTGTTCAGGGGATGGGCTATGTGTGATAATCCAACAAACAAACTTAGGAATGTTCAAACAAGTAGTAGGAGTATCAAGAAAAAGTAGGGTCATCAAAACCTAATGACGAGAGACTATACAGAAGAAGAGGATGTAGTGTCAAAAGTAACAAGAATGAGGAAGAGTTAAGTTCTTGAAAAGGTCTTTGGATTTACTATTGGTTACCACCCCTCAATTTGATCCATAAACCAACATAATTGTGTTCCTCAATCTTGAAGGCAAAAATTTTACCTATTTCTTCTGATGTTCACTAGCCTAATTCAACCTTCAAGAAAGTGATCATATTTTAGATCAGACAACATAGAAGAGGAGAGAAAACATGGGGTTTCAACCTAGGGGGCAGATCAACAGGATATGATAACAAGCAAGAGAGCAGAGTGAGAGAAAGGAGAAAGACATACACACACACACAGAGAGAGAGAGGATTTCTACATTTCCCATGATAGCAATCCTTAAGAAAGATATAGAGAGGTAAGATGGAAAGGAACATAACTTTAAGATTTTATTTCCATTCCAAAAGAAAAGATAGAAAGCAAATTCCTTCCAAATGCCATCAACCTAAGAGAAAGGGCATATATTAATTCCCTGCTCTCAGTTGTTCTGAAAATACCAAGAGAAACATAGAAATCCCAATTCAAACATACCTTTTTCACAAATCCAAACTTTTTCATGAAAACTAAGAGGAAGGGACCCCTCCATTCAGGCTATCTTTTTTTTAATTAATTTATTTAATTTTTTAATTTATGGACCAAAACAAGCATTTCCATAACATAGTATAATGAAAAAGATGATTGCACTTGAAACTGCAAATCTATTTTGTACAACTTGCTATTCCTTTTAAATACATAACAAGGTTTTCATGCAAATTTCTTTATTCTACTTTTTTTCCTGACACAAAAACACTGAAAAAATCAATTAATTCTATCACTGCAGAGAAACTAAAACAACCTGATTTTATAGTTTGTATAGATGGAAAAAAAAAGTATTACTGTAAAATAATCAAGTAAATACAATACTGTACACAAGGGGCAAAATAGTATATTTTTATCAATGGCTTAGATTAAGATGGGAGACTTAGTCCTAGCAAATTTGCATATTACTCTAGTACTCATAGAAGCAGTTAATATATAGGAAAGCAGAATCAGAATTTACAAAATTGGTAGAATTTCAAGACAGGACCAAATCTAATAACATTGAATTTGAATTTGGTTAATATAAAATCCTATATGTAGGTTCAAAAATCAAATATACAAGTAAAGAATGGAGAAGATATCATGGTTCACTAGAAAGAATACAAGATATTGAGTCCTACAAACTGAGCTAAAATGCCAGTTCTTCCCTTTTCATGATTGTGTAGACTTTGGCATGTCAATTGACCTCAGGAGTTTGCTGGAGCCATCTGATTAGAGCCAATTAATGTTAAAATTTCTGTGTGAGCATTTATACCTCAGAAATCAAGAAATGCTCCAAATTGAGGATGAATTTATTATTTTGTTGGTTATCTAGACTCAAAGCAGATTAAAATTTAAAAATATGTAGTATACAAATACAGGAATATTATTGTTGAACATTTACCAGCACACCTCTGAAATTTTAGTTTCCTCAATCAAAAGCTCAACTTGACATGATTTTTAAGTTTCTTTCTAGCTCTAAACCTACAATTGTTGATCCTATGACATTACTAGATAGCAGTTCTTATGAAAAAGACCACACCCCCATATAAAGCTAATGCCTTTATAGACTACGTTAATAGAAGTACAGTGTTTTAAAATATTGTTCATGACAGTCTCACTATATTCTGACCAATAAGAATACTGTTTGGTTCTCTGTACATTTCAAGAGTAAAAGTGATCGACTGGACCATGTCTAAAGGAAGGTAATTAGGATGTTTGAATGCACTTAACACATTTAACACAGAAAAGATAAAAATTGTGGGGAGGGGACTTGGGAGAAAACATAGTTTTATTCAAATATTTAATGAGTCATATTATAGAAAAAGAAATTCTCTGTGTTGCCATAGAGAATCCTAAACTAACTCACTCATTTCACATGAGAGGAAACTCATGCCCAGAGTTGTTAAATGAATTCCGCAATGTTTCTGAGGTAATAAGTTGCAGCACTGGAATTTGAATTCAGGTCCTCAGAGACTCCAAGCTCAAAACTGTTTAGACTAGACTGTACTGCAGAAAGCAATATTCTTGGATGGGACTTGCAGGGCAACAACTTTCATCTCACTATAAGAAAGGACCTTTTTTTGTTGTGAGTTTTCAAAAAAATGGAATAGGTTGACTTATTATAATAATAATGAGCTCCCCAATACTGGAAGCATTTGAATGTTTGTGAAATTGAATTTAGTCAAATTCTGAAGGACTGTCTCCAAGACACATTGGATCAGAAAGCAGACTAGATAATACTAAGGTCCTTTGCAACTCCAAGATTCTAATATTCTAAATCACCTTCCTTGTTCTTCATTATGAAGTCATAATCATTCACTTTGGAATAATAACTATGAAAAGCTCATGAAATTATGTTCTGCCAAATCTGAAAACACTTAACCTGTGAAATGAAATTCTGTATGGCATTGAAAATTCTTCCATTGCCCCCAAATAAATGACAGTTGCATCTGTCATGTTATCAATATTTCAATGAGGAAATAAATCATGTTAGTATTTGAATTCACCATTGAGAATTACTTGCCCATTCTAATACATCGTCTTGAGGAACTCCTTCAGGTTGAATGCAATATAGATAGTTTCTTTAGAGAGCAAAGCAAAACTGTGACCATTTTTATGACCCCTTAATGTCCTTCAAAAGTCATTTGACACTCGCCTTTGCCAAAAGTAAATTCATCTTAAATCAGTTCTCTAGCATGGAAATAGTTTCACCTATCAGAGAGAAATAAAGCAAAAACAGAAACAAACAAAACAACAACAAAAACAAAAACAAATACTCAGGGCTAAATACTAAGTGCTAAATAGGGAAACTCAAGCATGTCTGTTTTTCAAATGTTTACCTTAAGTGGTTCTCCAGTCATTGCGTTTGAGGAAGCTTGTGTCAGAATGTTTATGTTGTACCCAGTGGATTGGTCATGAAGCTGACCTAAAGCATGTATATGCTTCTCATGTCCACCTGCATCTAGAGATGTATGTGCATGCAGAAACTGTATTTGAGAGTACGGGGGAGAGTAAGGTACGTGTTCAAATTCCGAAAGAGAATTAGGCTCGGATCACTACAATTGCCTCTACCTACTATTTTATTTCCCTAGCTCCCTTCCTACCCCTCCCCTCTCCACAAGGGAGGATGCTGGAGGCTGGGGGGGCTGAGGACTCGGTGCTGGAATGGTCTCCTTCAGTCTAGGCTGTGCTTGCGTTCTGCTCCTCCTAGTGTCACTGCTGCAGCCTTGAATGCTTTCTCTCTGCTGCTTCCGTGCTCCGGCGCAAACCTGTCTGGAAAACCTACACAGCAGAGGCAGAGGAGGGTGGCGGGAGGAGAAGTTCCCCAGGCAAAGTCTCAGAGTGGCATTGGCTCGGGAAGTTTTCACGTCATTTGCTTCCTTTAACCTCCCTCTCCCTTCCCCTCCCTCAGCTTCTCCCCCCCGCGAACCCGGAGCGCCCATGGAGCAGGTAGAGAAGAGGAAACCGAGCTTGCAGCACTGAGAACCCCTAGACCCGGAGCCCGTGATGTCTGGCCCCAAACTGGAGGCTTCCCCGCCTTGTCGGAACTGGTCATCTTGTCCGGAACTCAACAGGACTCGGGAGCCTTTGGGGAATCTCTCGCTCTATGACGATGAGGAATTGCTGCGCTACGTGTGGAGAGAATACTTACACCCCAAAGAATATGAATGGGTTCTGATCGCTGGCTATATCATCGTATTCATCGTGGCGCTCATTGGCAATGTCCTGGGTGAGTGTCCCCCTAGGGCAGCTCTCCAAAGGACTGTCACATTCCCTCTGCCAGAGGTTGGGCAAGGTCCCTTTACCCCCAATGTGCTCTCTTGGGTAATAGACACAAAGAGGTCAGAGTGTTAATGCCTTTGGTCAGTGCAGGCTTTCTCCAGTTTAGTGAAAAAAAGTTTCCTATTTGACTACCCAGGGGGCATTGCACTGATATCTTGCCTTTACCTTGCTGTGCACGGGGAAATCAACAAACCCCTCCCCTAATACATCCCATCCCTCTTTCATACTTCACCCTTTCCCATCTCATTGCCCTCAACCCAGCATGAAACCTTCTGGGGGTGGAAGGAGAAGTGACTCAGTGGCTGAGGATTTGGACCCTGTTTATTGAATGAAATTAGGCTTCCTATTATTATTGAAGCTGAGTACTTCTCCAGTTAGGTTGAGTACCAAAGCTGTGTGCTACTTGCAGCCCAGACCTGCCCTCTTAAGGAAAGGGCTCATTTGGGCTGCTAAAGTCATAACGCGATTCCAGAGGCAGATTGCCCTTTTCTAGGTCTTAGCAGCAGCTTCCCAGACGGACTAATGGGTGGTGGGTGGGAGATAAGGGCATATTAGGGAGTGTCTCCTTCAAAGACTGAACCACAGAAGAATACAACAGTGCAGAGTTAGGAAAGAAGAGGGAGGAAAGGAGCAGCATCTGAGAAAAAAAAGTCTCAACCAGGGAGATTTATCAGATGTCAAGATTTTATATTGTTCTGGCTTTGTGTTAGTTAGGAGTCAGAAAGGACAGACCCTGGTGCTTGGAAAGGAGGCAACTAGCAAAATATTAATTCCCTTTCCTCTTCTCTTGTTCTGGTGCAGGTGGGAATGAGGGGTGGAAAGTAGAGTGTGTTTGTGATCTGTAGGAACCCACAATGCCCTTCTATTCAAAGAGGAAAACCTTTGGACTGTAGGTGGGGGTGGGAATAAGAAAAAAATGAGACAAGATAAATTTGCTGGGAGGAAGCTATAGATATTCAATGGGATGTTGTTTCAAATGTCCAGGACAGGTGGGTGGAGGAAGTCTTAAATAGAATAGAGTCAAGAGAAGGGGTGATTTAAATACAGATTCCCCTGAATTGATATAAGGAAACAGAGGGAATACACATGGGCAGGCAGACTAGAGTGAATAGTTAGGTGTGTTGGAAGCCAAAAGCTAGGAATGACCTGAGATTGAGAAGAGCAGTAAACTATCAGCAAGTTTTCAATACTAATCTGATCTGTTCCCAAATGGACAACCTTAGGTTGTTAAGTGTTCATGGGCTAGGTGATAGACCAGTACTCTAGAAAGAATAAACAGGCTTATTATTTTATGAGACATATCAAAATATCTATGGGTACATGGGTATGCCCTCCAAGCTAAAGAGTTTCCTTTTTTAATGTATGCATGCGTGCATACATATACACATACATGCATACCTACATATATGTATATGTGTGTATATATATATGAATTTTAGGATACAAACATACATACATACATACATACATACATACATACATATATATATATACATATATATATATATATATATATATATATATATATATATATATATATATAATATGTATATAGCCCAATCCAGCCTGGATGGAATTATTTGCAGTGCTGATGGAGAGGGGCATTATCATAGTTCTGACTATATAACTGAACTGATGTTTGACTGCTCCCCATCTTCCTTTCATTCATTTTCAGAATTACATTTTAGGTATAGTACCACTTGATCATTGCATGATGATAACACATCATAAAAATAAGGAGTTGATGGAGGTTTCCTCTCTCTCTCAAGCTCTACAATCTCCCTGATGTGATAATGAGTTCCCAGGATTCCCCTGTATCCATGTGCAGCTATTGTCAATGAATGGCCATCACTGAGTATCTGGGCTATCTCCTCACTAATGCAATTTAACCATTGAGGAATATGAATGATATGCACTGAGAATTTGCTATTTTAAGGTTACAAGTAAAAATTAAAAGGCATTTTGATATTACTTAGCCAACTTCTTCCCTTGTTTTTATGTTTAATACTTATGTGGAAACTGATTTTCTACCTCAGTTCTCCCCTACACCACCCTCCCTCTTTGACTCCCCTCAAAGCCTTGGGGGGAAAGTGAAATCTTTATTTCTTACCTTTTTGTGGTATGTTTCTATGCCTGGGAAAGTTTTGATTACAAGGCTGAGGAAATGCATACTACAGGAATTCTGCCTGTTTCAAATATCTGGGGGAATAGACAGCACTGTCCACAAAAATAGGTGCTGAAAAGACAAGGTCAACTATGCACAAAGAAAGGAAGAAAGAAAGAAAGGAAGGAAAGAAAGAAGGGAAGAAGAAAAAGAGGAAAAAAGAAAAATTACCTTGAATTACTTCACCTTCAAGATATTTGGAGTTATTTTCCTTTTGACTGAAAAGTACAGAAATCCTCTCTAGCTGAGCTGAAACCTCTTCTTTACTCAGCTATTACCTGAAAGTTGATGGGGTTTAGGTTTGACATTTAAACAAATGAGCACTGTCATTACTCACCAGCAACTTCCTGCTCTTTGATGTCATTGTCAAATTTGCAAAATGGATTAAATAGAGAATTGCCTCTTTTTTGCCTCTGGTGTAAGTAATTTTATGAAGAGAGTGACAGGACAAGAAAGCACATCACTCACACAATATAAAGAGACAACATTAGATATGAAGGTGAAATATCACAGTATAGTAGGAAGATTTAATCAGCCTCTTTTCAGGTTCCATTCACTGTTTCTTTTTCAAATGACTAACCACTCTGAAAATTTTAGCTTTGTTGAACTCACTAATTTAATGCTATCTTCTAGAAAACATTGCCTTCACAACATTCTACTGGGAAAGCAGTGTATCAGGATCCAATCATTGCATATTAGTGAAACAGATGAATTCTGTCATTAGCCTCTTCATTTCACAGAGGCTCCCAATTTCTGCTTCTCAGAAGTTCAGTGCCTTTATGATTTCTCTTCTTTCTCCACTATCTGTTATATCCAACTTTTATCAGGAAACAGAAAATCAAATCAATCCATTCTCATGAAGGTGTAAATGACTAATAAGGTGAAATGTGTTACCTTTTTTCAGGCAGAGGGGAAAAAAGCAACTCTAACTATGGAGTTTTTGCCACTAAGGAGCTGGCCATAGGGCTAGGTAGATAGATAGATTGGTCTTATATTTTTACAAAATAAATTACCACCTCCTCTACTAGCTCAGAAGGCAACCTTTAAGTGTAACCATAGAAGCAGAATCATTCATTTATTCATTCTACAAATATCTATTAAGCAATCACCACATGCACAAATACTGTGTTAGGCACTGGGGGCAGGAGGCAAAAATGCCAGCTATAGTCTTTGTCAAGGTGGCCTAATGGAAAAAGTGTTGGACTTAGGTTCAAAAAGGTCTGGGTCTAAATACTCCTCTCTGATATTTGTTAGTTTTGTTACTACAGGAAAGTTAATTAACCTCTCTGAGCTTTAGTTTCCTCTTCTGCAAAATGTAGATAATAATGATGTTCAACTGAGATAAACATTGAAAACCTTAAGGCACTAAATGTCAGTTCTTAATCATTTGTCCCTATACTCAGGATGAGGAGAATCAGAAGATCTGGATTCTAGTCTTACTTTAGTGTGTGACCTTGAACAATAATGTCAGTGCTACTAAAGATTTAAAATTTCAGCAGTCTAGATTCTCCCAGCATGAGATTACAAATTCTACATGCCTCAGTAGATGATCTTCATGAGTCAATCAAGAAATCTATTGTTAAACAAGCATTTACAAAGCACCTAATATACATCTGACACTGAGAATCCAATAACACCAATGAAACAGTCCCTACCCTAAGGAATGTGCATTTGACTGAAGAGGGCAACCCATTCTTAGATAATTACACATACATAAAAAGAAAAATATATACACACACATATATGCATACATATGAAATAAATGCAACTAAAATTTTATGACAGAGGGTCCTAGCAACTGGGAGATATCAGAAAAGGCTTCATATAAAAGATGTTTGAGCTAAGTTGTCAAGGAAACAATGGATTCTAAGAAGTTGGGATAAGCTTTTAGTTCATTCTAAACAAAGGGAACATCAGTAGAAAGGTATAAAAGCAGAAGATGAAATGACATGTATGATAGGAGATATAACAGCAAAAAATTACATGTTAGCTGTACTGTACAGTGAGATTCTAGGGACAAAAATAGTCATCATCTGGTTCCAAATCTTTTGATGATGATGGATAATAACTTACATTTATATACTGCTTTATGATTTTTAAATCACTTTCCTCAACACAACCCTGTGAGGATGGTAGTGGAAATATTGTTAATGTTTTGTTTTGTTCTGTTCTGTTTTTACAGAATAGGAAACTGAGTTTAGAGAGGTTACATTGCTTGTCCAAGGTCAAATAACTAACCAATTAAAAACCAAGAACATGAACAGATGTCTTCTGTGTCCAAGTACTCAATTTCTCCATCTGTAATATCAGGGCAATATTTTAGGATCCTTAGATTTTGAGCTGCAATGAAACTTAGAGACCATCTAGTTTTGATCCTCCCCTCCTTTATAAGGATAGCATAAAAAGAAATAGAAATGTGAAATTAGCTTAAGCTATTCATAGAGTTAATGCATAATACAGATAGACATCTAAGAATCTTGTATTATATCGAGTGAAAAAGTTGTATAGCTTTAAAACTGTTAGTGCTAATATCATGTACACAGTTCTTTTGCTTATAAATTCTAATATGGTTGGCTAACTGAGGATTTATTTAAACAGAGCTATGATGGTGTGTCCAGACATTTCTTTCAACATATTTTCCTATAAATTTTGGTTCAATATCATTATTCAATGTCTTTGAATTGAGATATTGTCTAGAATATTTTCCTAATGTGATATGTCAAGTGCATATATTTTAGCACATATAATAACATTTCTGTATATTTTCTTTCCATACATATCTT